TGTGTCTGTCTGTGTGTGTGTCTGTCTGTCTGTGTGTCTGTCTGTGTGTCTGTCTGTCTGTCTGTCTGTCTGTCTGTCTGTCTGTCTGTCTGTCTGTCTGTGCATAACGTGCGCGCACACATAAACTTGGTGCTGGGCTAAGTCGAAAAAGGCCGTGTGACCGCATTGTCAACTCGCGAGAAGTCGACAGATCCCATTCTGGGTTCCAATGAGCACGAGACCCTGCGCACGAAGTGACAATAATGCATTGAAACTAGCGAAAACATGCCCAAACTCCAGGTGCACGCTGTGTTTGAGGGAGAGCTGGCCGGGCAATGAAAAACTGCGTGCTACCCTTGCGCCACAAGCTGCGCTACACGCACCGCGTATATAAGACGCTCAAGTTTGCTAATTACCCTATTCCGGGCTTCCGAACCAGGGGTTCGAACCGGGTTAGGCACGATGGCCGTTTTCCATAAGAGCCTGATTAGAACCTTAGGCCTCCCCTTGCTGAGTCGTATGCAGCGTTTTAAAACTGCGCGGCGCTGATGCCACAAGCTAGTACCGATGTCAGATTCGTTGTGTTGTTTCCGACTGTAGCCTCGTACAGCCTGCCAGCATTTACTACGAACCTTGGCAGCTTTTGATGTCATCAACCCCGGTTAATACAAACGTGTCGGCTTCCATATCATGGTGTTCAAAGTCGAACTTGGTGCGATCAACACTGGACTTCTAAGCCCTCAACCCATGCTGCCTGATCTCAGTGGTTTTCCAGAATCCACTGTGGAGCTGCGACCTCGCCCAGTTCACGCAACACTCTCAAAAACATGCCACATGGCAATCTCAGGCAGTGACAGCTCTCCTCGAAGAGGTTCCTTTTTTCGCACGCCTCCATCAGAGGAGTCTGGTTACCGGAGTTTCACGAGGCCTCAAAACACATGCTTCGGTGACCTGTCTGGCTCTGCACATACTGCAGGACTTTCTTGTCACGCTCAAACTTCTCTTTGCGAGCCAACGCCTTGGCTGCAAAGCGTGTCAATCTATGAGTTCACCTTGCTGAGGCCTTTGCAAGCTTCTTCAAGGAGGATCTCAAATACATGACATGCTGATTTGCTGTGTGAACTACAAATCCACTCAATGCCTCATATCGGTTAGTCATGGCTAGCCAAAGTTTAGTCACATAGTATGTCGCATGAGTCACAATATGAGTCATATTGCACCGAGCACGGTGCGTTGGGTCAGGCTTGCTGATGGTTTAGCGACCCTAGCGCCCTCTGCAACCTTTATAGCTTCCTATCGCGAGTCCATAGTCCATAGAGCCCATAGATGCCATCGGGAAACCATAAGTTCAAGGGGTGAGTTGACATCCGCATGACAAAATGGGTATCTTAGCTGGCATAGTATCGTTGTTAGCTTGTGAGGCGTGTTTTATGATTACCCCGCTAGCTTGTTTGAGTACGTCAGGCGTTTGAATGTTCGTGTTGCGGACTGCCCTGCATATCATGACAGCCGTGATCTGGTATGTGCAGCGTTCTCCCTCGATTAAACACGGCTGCATCTTTTGCGCAGCACTTTCCAGCAAGAGTGTAGCTGCGAATGCACATGGACACTCAGATCCTAACATGCGCATTTCTTGTGCAGTCAGCCGGCTACCTGGAGGTCAGGCCAACGGCGTTATGATGTTCTCCCCAGCAGTCGGACAAAAACTTAACACCGAATCGCGCGACAGGACGAGAACAAGAAGATCGCGACTAGGAGTTGGCATCACCACCCCTAATAACATCCGGGACTCAAACGACCTTTAACTCCTGAACGATACCTCTGTGCCAACTCCTGGATGGATTTCCCGGGTCCTGGTCCCAGCCTTGAACAAAGACAGCACGTCACGAACCAACAAGTAGACCGGACTTACAGAATAAGGGCAAGGCCACCCAGTTTCCACATGCTGGAACTAGCTTGCTCAACAGTTCGTGTTGCTTGGATGAGACAACAACCTGTTTGGTCTGGAAACGTGCGGATACAAAGCCGTCATACACCCTCAGGCCACCCGTCCTTCCATCATTCTTCAGGGGCATGCCAAAAACAAGTGCCCAAAGCCCCCGCATGAATTTCACAACCTCGGAGCTTGGCTTGTTCACCACCAGCACCGCCATCTGGAACTTCGTGGCACCATCCATGGCATGCAAACTACAGTACCGGGTGCATCGCAAATGTTCAAAGCAAGGCAACGAGGCGGGGCGACGAGACTTCGAGGGTCGCCTCTTTTCACTCACTCACACACTCACACACACACACACACACCCAGACAGAGAAAGGCAGCATCGCAACTGCTTTGCGGCTTTGCTGCTTTCACGGCCTGCGGGGGAGTGCCTGCAATCACCAAGGCTCTCGCTAGGCGCAAGGGGCTCCGATGGCCCGTGTTCTCATGTAGGCCGAACGCCAACAAAGGCCGGGATCGGAACCTCAGACTCAGGGTCCTTGCTCGGTTCAAGGGCCTCGTCCTCCGACTCCATAGTGCTGCCCAGGCCGTTCAGGAAACCCTCGTCATTGGCAGCCGTCTCTGCAGCCAAGGTCTCGGTCACTGGTCATCATCAAACTGTCTTTGCATCGCTTCCAGCACGTCTTCTGCAGGATCATCGCCCTGCTGGTCACAGCCCGGCTCGACGTCAAGCAGCGCCGGCCTTAAGCCGGGAAAAGGTCAAACACAGTCGGCTCATCCATCAGTTGCCCGCACATCAGAGGCCAGAGGGGCTCGGTCGTCCGCACGGGGCACAAAAGCCCCGTCGAGGAAGGGCTCGTGGAGCGCATTGTCATAGACCTTGTCCTGCAGCACCACGAAAGTTCATTGACAGCCTGGGGGCTCACCTTGACGAGGCTTCGGTCGTGTTTGCACTTGTTCCAGGCCTGAGCTATCAGCAGCCGTTGCCTTGCTTAAGTTGTTGCCGAAGGGGGGCAGTCACAGCTCGTCGTTGCCCAGCTGGTGAAAGCCCATATCGCTGTCCGGTGACAGGCCAGCTTCCCCATGCAGCGGCCGCGTGGCGCCCTCGCTGACATGCTGCATGTTTTGAGCCAGCATCGCCTCCATCCGCTGGTCGCGGGTGTCCATCATCGCACTCACCCGCTGCAGATCTCGGTTTGCGAGGGTCCCGCTGGCTCCCATTGGTCCCGCGGTCCTTTGCTCGGCTGCTGGTTACGGTTGCCGTTCGGGTTCGAGGCGTGGTGCTGGTAGTTCTGCCGGAAGCCGCCGCCGGGGTCCTCGATGATGAAGCAATGTAGCCACCTGGGCCGCAGGAAAAGGTACGTCTCGAAGTTCGTCGAGACTTGGCCGCAGCTTTATTTTGAGCTTGCGGCCGAATCCCCGGTGCTCAACTCCACAAACTTTGTATTTCCGAAAGTCGCTTTGGATTGCTTGGAAACGAGCAAATCTGTAAAGCATCTCTGCTCCAGACAAAAGCCAGGTAGGATGAAACTCTGCACATACACCAGCCACCTGTGTGGCTTGACGAAAAATTGGCTCCAACAGTTGCGGAAACTACTCCAGTGAAGCATCATCATCAAATTCACCCGAATGGGTGGCCACCAAACGTGCACAAGCTGTGGCTGCGGTGACAGGTATGCACCGGCCATCATCTTGCGATGCTTGTCCAAGCTCATCGTTGCTTCCCTTCAAATCGCCGGCAGCCAAAATGAGCTGGTCCCTGCCAGCATTGGCAAGGCTGCAGTCTGAAACAAGCGTAGAGAAGCTCGTCCTTGCAACGTCCCATGTTGTGGGACAGATACAAACAGGATGCATGGCGCCGTGCTTGACGGGTGGCCGGAAAGGACTCTTCCTCTTTGATAGCATGATGGACAGACACATAGATGCATAAATGAAAGCACGGAAGCATGTGCGAAGACAAACGGATTTGACCCTTCTCACTCGCGACGACAGTGTTCCGAAAGCGACGGCTTTCACTTAGACTGTTGTCTCGATTGTGCAATATTTTCATAGGTGATCGGAGTATGACCGATGGTGCCTTGCAGGATTGCCCAATATTAAGGTTCAGGTTTGTCGGAGACATCGTGTGCAGGCTGCCCTAACGGCCCCTAACATTTTAAAGCTCGGGTCTGTTGAAACCGGCTGCCATTTCATCCTGCTTTAGCTTCTCGTGTGCTGCCAAGCCGCTCGGGCCCGAGTTCTTTGAAGTTCCTCATCAAAAGGCTTTTCGGAAGGAAGGTGCACCTGGCAATGAGAAGCAAAGGGAACCCTGGATTCAAAGTGCCTGTGGGATTCGAGCTTCGGGCTGCATCTCTCCGCTATGCTCAGGGTATCAGGCCGTCCAAGTTACTCAGGCACTGAAAGAGTGCCACGTCCTTTCCGACATTGCCGAACCGTTGTGGCTACCCCAGGAATCCCGATGTCACAGACAGGCTGACAAGGCAGGCGCACATGCGCTGCAAAGTCGGCCATGCGGCCGAGAGTCAGCCTCCCTTTCTTTGTACCATGGCGAGGGTCTCGAGGCTTGTGGGATGGCTTTCCGATGGTTTTCATGTAAATTCGGGTGATGAAAGTCTCCTACAGCTTGCTTCTACCAACGGCGTCCTTGCACTTCCAGACCAGCACTCAGCAGCTACGAAACGGTGGTCATCGGCTGTATCAGTAGCCCGGCTGACTGCAGATAAGGTCTGATTCGTTGTCCGTGCATGGAGCACTGTAGCTCCTGATGCTCAAGTGATTGCGGCGAGAAGACCAGATCCCATCAGCCCCTGAAAGACAGCTCCAACTGCACGATGCTGATCACCACAACTGCTTTGAAATGCCATGGTCGATGACCAGTGTTTCTTGTATGAAGATCTTCCAGGCATCGAGCTATCCAATGTATCACAAATTGAAACACGCATGAATGTCGTTTTGGTTGAGCAGCACTTGCCCCAAGTCGTGCCTGCGCCCCTTCGCCACGGCATCCTTGCTCTGTGTGCTCGAGTTGTGGACCGGAGCAAAACCCCTGAATGTTAGACTCAACTATGAATCTCCCACGCAATGCTGCATCCGATTCGAAAAGCAGCCGTGATTAAAACATCATCGCTACAATACAAGCTAGGTGCTGTGAAACATATTTGCTGACATATGTAGATGACGGCTTGGGAGTGTCGATATCCCAAGCCACAAAGTGGCAGCTCAAGCTGGGAAGTCAGGCACATAGACCAAGACGCTGCTCTCTTCCTGGTCACTCATCCTGGCACGACAGCTTCCAACAGGCCATGCGCCGTGCCCTGAGGTTCTTAACAACACATGAGCTCCTCTGCACATATTGCTGGGCAAAGGCTTGTCCAAGCTCGGTCGGTTGAGAAAAAGCAACCCGGCTGCCGGGAGCGAGCAGCTTGCGCGCACCTGCAATTCAAAACACAGCATGCAATGCCTCCCCTCTCTCTTGCGCACTGCCGAGCCCCCAGCGGTCCACCAGCGCGACTGCAAGGCCACGTCGCCGCTCGCGGCGTCGCGTCCAGAGCACCGCCACACCAAGAAGAGGCCCAGTCTTCTGAGATTGCAACATCTGTTGTGTTTGCGTTGTTCTTGAGGCTATGGAAGGTGGACCGAGCTTGTCTGCAGTGATGCGCTCTGCACTCAGCAGTGCAAGAACATCCTTACCACGCAAAGCGAGCAAGATACAAGCACTCTGGCTTGCCAATTGCTCTGTTGACGGCAATTCCAAGATGTGTGAGAGCTGTGTTTTGCGGATGTTTTCCCAAAGCTCCACGAGCTTTGCGTCTGCAGCACCCTTCCGAGCATTTGCACCCAACCGGACTAACCGGCAGGGACCCTCTGCACTTGGTGCGCTGCCCAGGGTTTCAGCTGGGAATGTCCATTCGAAGATAGCCGGGCACAGGTGCAAGGCCCCTTCAAGTGCTGTCAGCCGTTCCCCGCATTCCCGACAATTCCGTGCCACTGCGAGTAGTGACTGACCGCATCGGCCAGGTGGCTGGCGCTTTAGGACCCGCTGCTTGACTGGCCGAGGTTTCGAGACTGCCAGCATGGGGCCTGCTGCAGAATCGGGCTTTCTTAAGGTTTTGCATGCACATGTGTGAAGCGTCGTTGCCGTCAGGTCCGTGGTGTTACGCGATTGCTGTAGTGCTCTGGTCAGCGTGTCCTTGCCGCATGAATCTCGTGCCACAGACTTGAACCGCAGTGCAAACACACGACGGCTGCACAAGGTACGAGCATCCGCACATCGAGTCTTTAACGTTTCTCTCTGCACCTTAGACCCATTGAGAAGGCCCGTCAAAGCTCGGCATGGACTACATCTTTTTGCGTTGCGTAGTCCTTGCAACTTCATGCATTTCTACATCACTGACCGATGCAGACACTGCGCTGAAGCACTCAGTGTCTACCTTGGCAACTAGGCAGTGGCATCACTGCCTTCAACATGTGGCAAGGGCACAAGCAAACTGCAACACTTCCCCTCGCTCTTCCGTCGTGTTTCGAGAAGGTGCATAAGATAACTCGTCGTGACAGCATCCGTTTCGTGTCCATGTCATTATGCGAAATGTAGAGGGGCGAATTCTAGATTATGAAGGAACTTGCAGTGAGTGTACAGTCTATTGGGAATGTTATAGAGGGCTTGCTTGAAGGGTGCAGTGAGTTTGGTGTGGTTGGCAATCTCAAACTCTACATGTTGCGGCGCGCATCTTGAATTGCAGCTGCTGCGGAATAAACCGCATCCCGGCGCAGACTGCACTCTAGTTCGAAGGCAATGCGATGCGTGACGGATAGCTTCGCAGTTTCGAGATTCGTGGTGCAGGAGCAGAACGTGAGTACCCACGATGCCTCTGCAGAGTCAGATGACTTGTCTCTGAACAGATTTAGAGTTTGACTCGCCTCTTCATCGTAGCGTCTGAAAACGGTACACTTCCACGTCCCCACCCCGTGTGTGCAAACAGAAGGCTGGGCTGAGCTGGTTGAAATACCCACGCCTTCGCAGGTGCTGTGAGCAAAGCATCAGCTAGGCGATGCAGACAATTTGCAGACCACTCCGTCCTCAATTGCTTTGCGTTGCATTCGCAAGGGTTGGGTGGCTGTGGCTTGCGTGGGGGTAGTGAGAAGCTCCAGCTCCGCTGTGCGAAAGATGCGATGATGTCGCTTTCTGAGGAGTGTGTGACTTGGGAACTTAGAAACTAAGATTACTTGCTTTGCTTGATGCTTCTGAATTTCGTGACTTCTGCACGTGCCTGACCCTCAAAATGGAGGGGACCCTGCCCTGAATCCACTCAAGCTTTTGCTGCAGACTGCTGGGGCGCCAACGGGCAAGCTTAGCGCCGAGTGCACCCACTGAGAGTGTAGGAGGTGGCTACCTGAAGAAGGTAATCACGAATCACAACCCTGGTTTCCTATCAGAGCTGCGAATTTGCTCGACTCTGCACCCATACCTCCTCTGTGGATCCCGTGCATCGATACACCTTTGCGGTGCCTCAGCGTGGCTTACAGAGGCAGTGCTTGGAGCGCCGTGGACCAGACCACGGCAGGGCTTGCTTGAAACCTGGCTCTCGCATCCAAGGTGCCAGAGTATCCTGCAGAACATCTGGCCGTAACTTGGAACACGTGCTCTCTGAGATCTGTCTCAGTCACGTCATAGCCGTCGGTAACCTGCGGAGACCACTTCTCAAACTGGGAGGCCCTGCAGTTGAGCATAGTTGAGCTGTCTTCCACCAAGCGGCAGCAGGGGCAACGCAGAAAATCTTCTGGTTGGGCGCTCTCTTGCTCGTGCTTGTGCAGCCATCGAGAGTGTACGAGGTCGCAACCTGCAAGGGTCTGCACTCACCCACTCATCCCATGTTTACTTTCCAGCAGGCGCGGTGCCCTCGTTCCACTCTCGTTCGAGCCTTGTCTGTAGCTCCTGAACATTTCGTGACCATTGCACTGCCTCGGCTTCGATTGTCGGAGGCATAATGTGGATGTCCACTGCATACTCGAGCAAGGTCGTCCCAGCTGCCTGTGTATCCTGGAGCACAGCTTGCCTTCACTTCAAACTCATCTACTCGGAGATCCGTCTCCGTCACGTCATAGCCGTCGGTGACCTAGTATCACAAATTTCTGCAGAGCTACCAGTACATCACTGCACAAGGCACCCAAAGTCAACCTTCCAGCAATCCGGAACCGAGTGACGGTCGGGGCAACACAGAAGACTTCATCTCTCGTGCAGCCCTTGAGGACGTACTGGCCTTGCGCAGCTGGACATCGTATCTCGTTGTTGTCGTTGTCATTAATACAAGTCCCCCTCGAACTCCCCTGCCATACCCCTTCTTCCCCCTGTCCGACCCTCTTCTGGCCCAAACCCCCATTCTCGAGCCGAAAACCCGGGTTTGGGGGCGTTGCTTACGCTCTTCGATGTGCAAGCCTGGTCCACGTACGTAAAATCACGCCTCAAAGAGAAAATAGGGCGGAGTCTCAATCTATCTATCCAGCCTATAGCCTATAGCCGCGGGCGACACCTGGGCGGCACGTGGCGAGCATCATGAGCACCCGGCGCGCGTGCAGCGGCCCATCAGGCACAGGCAGGCGCCAGCCGATGTTTCCGGAGGTCAGGAGGTGTACCGAATGATGCTGCTAATGCGCACCGGAAGGCCTCAAAGGTGGCTCCCACGGGCGCGCACAATGATGCTGGCCACGGAGGCGGCAGGGGGAGGGAGCAAGCGGGACGGGGCGCATGCGCGCGCGCACGCATGCTCATGATGCTGGCCAGGGCGGGAAGTCAGGGGAAGGGGGGGGGCTCCCCCCGCGCGCCCTTCCCTGCCCCCCGCCCAATTGAGTGAATGAATGATTGACTGAACGAATGATGATTGAATCGACTCTGGGCGCAAGCCCCTTAAATAAGTTCTATAAACACGGTCAAGATAAGTTCAATATAAACCCTGCGTTTCCTGGGCCTGTTTCCGAAACAGCTCATACCACAAAGCCCGTTCCCGGAACGTGCGTTCCACGAGTCGGGCTTGTTTTTGTCAGGGAGAAAGGGGATCGAAAACATGCACCGAAGGAAGAAGCACAACATGTGATCGTTTTCTCTCCTTCTGTGACCCTCCGTAGGCAAGTGGCGGCGAACTGCTCTGATTTTTCTCCTGGAATCTTCTACCTTGAATCTTGGATCCGTGGGTTTTGAAGTTCAAAACTCCGGATTGACCGTCAAAGTGCTTCACAGTAGTGCTCCATGATGTACTCATGCCTCTTACTCAAACATGTGTCATCTCACGCAGGCAACAAACATGCTCTAACATGCCTCGGCGAAAAATGAGATTGTAATTGTGATGCATGGAACTCCAATTCACGGTGAGCAATACTTGCATGTAGCGTTGCTTGCCGTGTCTTGCTGATTGAAGTCTTTTGGAAACAGCTCCAAATACAAAGGAGTGCTCGCACCAATGTGCTTCCTAGTAGCAATAGCGGTTGTGACAATAGAACGAAGAATGGCACGACTTTCCATATTGACCAGCATGATAGCCTACCCTTCTAGATTTGCATGCAAATCAAATCCACGATAGCATGTAGCGCTGTTTTCCATGTGTTGCTCACAGAAGTCTACATGGAATGGCTGAAGATAAACAGCACACTTAGCGTAATTGAAGAAGTAATCGTGGTCGTAACAGTAGACATACACATGACAAGGCTTTTCATATTCACCCTACTTAACATGCATTCCAGCATGGTAGCATACCCTTCTAGAGTCGAAGTGAAGCTGACAAGTAGTCCGACTTCATGTCATATTAACAGCTTGTGCATGGAAACAAATGAAGTCTTGTTGAGGTCCCTCACATCTCATGGATAATTAAGTTAAACAGCAACCCTACTATTTCTCTTCTATTGCAACCCTACGATTCACCTTAGTATTAAACTAAACCGCATGCGTAGCTTCAATGGTAAAGCCCATTGTGGCCTAAGTGGCAACCTTAAGATTGGCTTCAACGAAGCTTTTCAACCCTGAAGTACTGCTAACAGGTCTAACGTGAGCGTCTACCAATGTTTACTACTGCCCATATGAACAGAACATTCATAGCATTCTGTATTCATTACTCATGCCCATATTGATCGTCATAGCATCATACATTCACCACTTCCGACGCATATTCCCCAAACTCAACATCGGCCCCCATATTCACACTAATGGCAACCCCAACATTGCATATTTTCGCATTCAGACTAGGGTTAAAACCCCATTCAATACCTTCAGACCAACGTGAAACTGAAGTGATTCATAGTTCTAAACAACGTAACCCTGACTCTTAGCTTGGCCTTGGGCCTGTGATGGGTACCAGTGGCGACTCTGATATTGCCCTGAATAGCACATATAGCGACCCAAACGCAACGTGGACCTTAAGACTCAACTGCAAGAATATCATGAATGCAATCCTAATCCCAGAATGTTGACCGGAAGCCTGATTGTAAACTTGACATCTTAGCTTGAATGTAGCCCTTAACTCTAACCCCTCTTGGTTAGGGGAAGAGCGATCAAGCTGCTAGCCTGGTATAAGCCTTAGGGGTAACTTTGTTTCATTATGTTGACTATACTACGCCTGGCCTCGATAAAACGCCAGAGCCGACAGAGAAACACAGAGAGAGAGAGAGAGAGAGAGACAGGTTCGCGTTAAAAGTTGAATCGGCCCAGAGTTTTGAGGCACATGCTCGCTAACGTACCCTGCAAAGCCATGAAAAGGTAGATAGATATCTGGGGGTGGGGTAGCATATGTATATATGTGTGTGTGTGTATATATATACACATCCGCATATATGCACATTCATACATACATACATGCAACCTTAAACCTAGAGACCACTGCTTTGTTGGAGGCGGGCCCTGTCGCCAATGATCACTAAGATTGCAGAAACAGTGTCGATCGATGTTGTCGGTCCTTGATTTGCTCAGCCCGACGAAAGGATCACCGACAGAAACAAAACAGGCATTCACGCGATTCACGCGGTTCACGCTCCGATTGGCCCCGTAAAATCGTTTTGCAAGCCAGATGATTTCCCGAAATAGGCGCTCACGGGAAACAACGGTGGTTCACGGGAATAAACCACTTTTCACGCGGATTTCACGCATATTTCACGCGTAATTTTGCCCAAAAGCCACCTAGTCACTTTTTTTGATTTTTGGTAAGAAGAGCGAATCATGGGTTTTGGTCGTGAATCACGCATTTGGGGTCGTAAATCACGCTGATTTTCTATTCTCGGCTTACTGCCCAGCTAGATGGATCTGGGAGCCGCTTGGATTCACGCAGTGTACTTGTCAAGCCTGTTGTTTATTTCGAGCTTCGGGGCCCGATAACTGCACATTGCTAGCGTGCGAAAAAATTGTCGAGAAACAAACACAGGTTTGGTTTGTAACCCTGTTTGACACTCATTGACTCATTGTGCTAAATCCATTCCCTCTCTGTCTCTCTGCACATATACAGTCATATGTAGATACATATATATATACACATGAATATATATGTGTATGTATGTATAAATAGACATATACAAGGCGCACTTTATTGCATGAAGTCTGACGCAACGTAAATAACACAACTATTTTGAAGCACGCAACACAGCATCCATTCGACAAAAGTAAGCGATACATGTGGGGTTTCATCTAAATGTCTGTGCC